CTGAACTAGAACTGAACTAGAACTGAACTAGAACTGAACTAGACTGACTAACTGAACTAGAACTGAACTAGAACTGAACTAGAACTGAACTAGAACTGAACTAGAACTGAACTAGAACTGAACTAGAACTGAACTAGAACTGAACTAGAACTGAACTAGAACTGAACTAGAACTGAACTAGAACTGAACTAGAAGTGAACTAGAAGTGAACTAGAACTGAACTAGAACTGAACTAGAACTGAACTAGAACTGAACTAGAACTGAACTAGAACTGAACTAGAACTGAACTAGAACTGAACTAGAACTGAACTAGAACTGAACTAGAACTGAACTAGAACTGACCTAGAACTGAACTAGAACTGAACTAGAACTGAACTAGAACTGAACTAGAACTGAACTAGAACTGAACTAGAACTGAACTAGAACTGAACTAGAACTGAACTAGAACTGAACTAGAACTGAACTAGAACTGAACTAGAACTGAACTAGAAACTGAACTAGAACTGAACTAGAACTGAACTAGAACTGAACTAGAACTGAACTAGAACTGAACTAGAACTGAACTAGAACTGAACTAGAACTGAACTAACTGAACTAGAACTGAACTAGAACTGAACTAGAACTGAACTAGAACTGAACTAGAACTGAACTAGAACTGAACTAGAAACTGAACTAGAACTGAACTAGAACTGAACTGAACTAGAACTGAACTAGAAACTGAACTAGAACTGAACTAGACTGAACTAGAACTAGAACTGAACTAGAACTGAACTAGAACTCACTAGAACTGGAATTAGAACTAGAACTGAATTAGAACTGAACTAAAACTGAACTAGAACTACAACTGAACTAGAACTTAACGAGAAAAAACAAATTTCTTAAAACATAATTTTTCAAGACGTTTTTGCCGCCTATAAAAGTTTACTTAAGCTCATTTAGCAATGTGTGTAAAGAAACAACAACAAGCGCTTTTAGATTTGCCCGTCAATGGGTACAAGAAATTATGAGAACCGCATAGTAAGGACTGTTTGTTTTTTACGCAATTAGTAGACTTTTTGCAGCAGACTGTGTTTTACATGATGTTTTTAACAGTGTTATGACCATTTACATGCTACATGTTATATATCGTTGGAAAGGTAATTAAATCTAGTATTAGATAGTTGTGACTATAATCTAATATATTATATAGTATAGAAGAAACCAGACCTGTAACATATTAATATTCTTTATTGATATAAAGAAGATATTAGCAGTTGGGCTAAACTAAAAATTAAGGGAAGGGGTTCTGGAATACAGCTACAAATTAGAGGCCTAATTAGTGCCCTTTTGATCGAGTCAAATTGTTCGTAATTTTTTGAGATTAAGTATTTTCAGCTATAGTTTCATCTATCAATTATGCAGTAATTGAGCCTCTGTTGCGTCTTCAAGTACAATGAGGAGAGGATTGTGCGAAATGTTTGCTGTTATATTATCCAACCATCCATCCAACTAAACTTTATAGTCAAAACCTAGCAAACCCCAGTTGCACTTTCAACCATTTAAAACAATAATTAAAAACACTTGAATTTTTAAATTTTTCATAAATATGGCATTTAGTTTTATTTTGTTTTCGTTTTGTAATCGGTTTTGTTTTTCCGTTTTTTTTTTTTTTTTCATTAATATTATACTAATTAATCTTATAATCGATATTTAATAATCACTAAAAAACTGCTGCTGTATTATAATTTATTTTATTTTTAATAATTTTTTTTTTCTTCAGTTTATCTGTTAATATTAAATTATTTAAATACAGCTAAAAAAACAACAATTCTATAAAATATTTTTAAATGTTTAAATTATAAATTATAGTAAAAACTTATAAATTTATGTATTTTATGTAAGTGTTTGTGTATTTATTATTTATATATATATATATACTATATAAGTAGGTAAGGTTATTTTAATTATTATGTTTAAATAATACGATTAAACTAGTCAGTTTTTATTATAACTAGTAATTTTAATTATTATTACATATTTGTATTTGTATATGTAGTTATTATATTTATATGTATATGTATAGTTAAGTATATGTCTAGTGATATATTTTTTATATTTTACAAGGGATTTTTTTATATATATAATTTAAAGCTAATTAAGCCTTAAACAAACAATATAATTATAATAATAAAAATTTACAGGAAGGAGTAGTTTTAATGAAAAAAAAAAAAGAATTAAATAAAATTTAAAAAAAAAATTAAAAAGGAGTGTAATAAAAGTTTATCAATTATCTGCTAAAAACAGGCAGCATCGTCAATTATAGTTTTATTTATTCTGTTTTTTCTATTTTTATTCAAGTGATTTTTTAATTGATTTTTTTAGCTTTAATTGATTTATTTTTTTTTTATATATTTATTATTTTATTAATTAATTCATTAATTTTTTTATAATAATTATTTTTCTATAATTAAGTTTTTTTTTTGCTCTAAACTACTATTTACATATGTTTTTTTTTTTATTTAGCTTTTAACTTTTATTTGCTTTTTTTAATTTATATCTAATAAGACATCACATCATTTTATTTTTAAATGTTTTAATATATATTTTTATTTATAATCTATATAAAGATTTTTATTTAATTGTTTTTTGTTAATTTAATATATTTTTGTTTGCATTATATTAAAGAGTGTTATAGACAGGAACATTTAGTTGTCTTTAAAATGGCAACTTAATTTGTGTAATTATAAAAAAGGTTTTTTTTTATTTAAATTGTGAAAAATTATAAAGAAATTAAAAAAAATAGTTATAAAGAAATTATTAGAAAAGTCGGTGGTATTTGATATTGTTAAATGAATTTTGGCAGTAAAAGGTAAAAAAGTTTAACTATATAAATCAAAAGCTTTGAAACAAAGAAAATATTAAGAAATTTTGTTGAAAAGTTCAGAAATTTATCTGCTATAATAAGAAATAATAGAAAGTTTAATTTCTAGTTAAATTAAGTCATTGTAACAGATAAAATTGATCAAATCTAAGATCTAAGGAACAGTTTCTAGTACCAATAGGACTCAATTTAAGCACATATGTTGTCATTTGGTATTTGCGTGATCTTTAATGATCATGCTGGGATCTATTGATAGTTCCTTGATCATTGTCATCATTTTTCAAAAAAATCTTTTTATTAATTCAATGAAAATTCTGTTGTAATAAGAAATTTTTCTTTAAAACATAAATATTGTGCAATAAAATCTTAAAGTTTTAATATATTTTTAAAAAAAATATAAATATTTTTTCACCAAATTAAAAATTTAAAAAAAAAAAATAAGTAAAAAAATTCATCATTACAAGAAAATATTTTTAAAATTTTAAGAAAAAATATTTTAAATATATTCAAATTTTTTAAAATAAATATTTTAAGAAAATATTTTTAAAATTTTTAAGAAAATTTTCAAAATTTTTAAACAAATATTTTAAGTATTTTAAGAAAATTTTTTTAAAATTTTAAGAAAAATATTTGAAATTTTTAAAGAAAAATATTTAAAATATTTTAAGAAATTTTTTTTTAAATATTTTAAGAAAATTCTTTAAAATATGTATTTTAAGAAAATATTTGATTTTTTTTTAATATTTTCAATATTTTAAGGAAAATATTTTCAATATTTTAAGGAAAATATTTGAAATATTTAAAAAAAATATTTGAAATATTTTCAGTATTTTCTTAAAAATATTTTCAATACTTTTATGAAAATATTTTCAATATTTAAAAAAAAATATTTGAAATATTTAAAAAAAAAAAATACTTAAAATACTAAAAAAAATATTTCAAATATTTTAAAAAAATATTTCAAATATTTTAAAAAAATATTTCAAATATTTTAAAAACATATTTCAAATATTTAAAAAAATTTAAAATATTTTTAAAAAATATTTCAAATATTTCCACTATTTAAAAAATATATTTCAAATGTTTTGAAAAAATATTTTAAGATTTATATTTTCAATATTTTTTAGAAAATATTTTCAAAATTTAACAAAAATATTTTAAATATTTTCAGTATTTTCTTAAAAATATTTTCAGTATTTTTATGAAAATATTTTCAATATTTTTATGAAAATATTTTCATTATTAAAAAAAATATTTCAAATATTTTAAAAAAATATTCGAAATATTTTAAAAATATTCGAAATATTTTAAAAAATATTCGAAATATTTTAAAAAATATTCGAAATATTTTAAAAAATATTCGAAATATTTTCAATATTTTAAAGAAAATATTTTCAATATTTTAAAGCAAATATTTTCAATATTTTAAAAATATTGTCAATATTTTAAAAAATATTTAAAAAAAAATATTTTCAATATTTTAAAAAATATTTTCAATATTTTAAAAAATATTTTCAATAGTTTAAAAAATATTTTCAATATTTTAAAAAATATTTAAAAAAAATATTTTCAATATTTTAAAGAAAATATTTTCAAAATTTTAAAGAAAATATTTTAAAATTTTTTAAGAAAAATATTGAAATTTTTTTAAGAAAAACATTGGACATTTTTTAAGAAAAATATTAGATATTTTGAAAAAATATTGAAATTTTTTTTTATAAAAATATTGAAATCTTTTTTTTTTAATAAAATATTCAAAATTTTTTAAATAAAAATATTAAAAATATTTTCAGAATTTTAAGAAGGTAGTTTTAAAAGTTTTATTTTTGAAATTGCTGAAAAAACTGAAAATATAATAAAATATTTTTAAAATAATATTTAAATATTTTGAAAAAATATCAAATTATTAAAAAAAAAAACTGAAAAATATTTCAATATTGTTACAAAATGTATATGAGAAATTAAATTTTAAAATAGGTTAAAAAAAACTTGAATTTTTAAATAAGTTTTCAAAAATTTTGTATTTAATTAAAAAAATTTTATAAATAATTTCTAAAATATTATCCAAAATGTGGATATCTACTTTAAAATACTTAAACTCACAAATCATGTAAGAAAAAAACTTAAAAATTTGGTTCATTTGGAAGCAAAAACTTAAAATATTTAAAAGAAAATAAAAAAAAAATTAAATTAAATAATAAAGAAGGTTTAAAAATCAGTCTTAAAACTTAAAACAATTACAATTAAAAAGCAAACAAATCAAAGTTTATTATTATCATCATTTACTTTCAACATTTTCACTCAAACTCATCTAATTGTCCATTATTGAAACGTTCGCACCACTCTAGCAGCTCCTTAACCTCACGTGCATAATAATCTTCTTGATGTCTAGCTGTTGTTGCAGATGTAGCTGTAGTTGTTGTTATTGTTGAGTTGGTGCTTTCGCAGGCTAAATCTTCACTCATTTTAATAGTTGTCGTTTGGCACTTATCGAAGAAGGGTCACACATTGTGTGCATTAGAGGGACCGCTCGTTGAACTACCCGAATTACTTAAAAGACTACGTTCACTGGCCATACTGCCGCCGGGAGCATAAATCATTTCTGAATCACTGCTGGCTTGTTGTTGATGCAACGGATGTAAGTGATGCATTTGTAGTGAAGATGTTTGTGCTGTTTGTTGTAGTTGTTGTTGTTCTAAGCTTCCCATAGGCGGGTTTGTTGCGGAGGAGTTTATTGTTGGGGCATTATTAAGCATATTGGCATTACGTTGATATGATGAAGAGGCCGACGAGGAGGTATTGGAACGTGTTGAGGAATTATTGTGTGAACGCCAATTATGATATTGATTTTGTGTTATACTGGTTTCTTGATGTGCATGGGAATTGGCCAGTTGTTGTGGAAGATGTTGAGGTGTTAGGGGTATTAATTGCTGTTGCTGTTGTGGTGTCTCATCCACCTTGACGTATAAACGTTCCATATCACTTTCATTATCACCATCGGCTGTATGATATAGAGCCTGGTCTTCACCAATTTCATCATCGTGCGACATTAGCATGGCCATGGGTGAGGGTGAACCACCACAACCCGAATCGGCCATGCCATTGTAACAGAAAGAACCAGCATCTAAGTCCATTAAATTTTTACTAATCATGTCTTGGGTATTATAGTTTTGATTATTGTTAAGCGTATTTTGTTTTTGTTGTTGTTGTTGTTGTTTTTGTTGCTGGTTGTCGGCCAAATGCAGCTGATAGTTTTGTGCCTGAGTGTTAATGACCTTAAAACGATTACTTTGTTGATTATTGCCACTGCGTCTTAAAGTGCCTATATGAGCAAATGTTTGTTGGCCCAATTGATGTTGTTGTTGCTGCTGCTGTTGTTGTTGGTCGGCTGTTTCATAGGTATGACAATTACTTAATTTATTTTCTGTAATATGAATTTTTTCCTTAGGATAATAATATTGTTCAGAATACACTGATCTATTGCTGGTCATTTGCGTGGGATATATTTCACTGGTGGTAGACATTTGTTGATAAATATTATTGCTTTCATTATGTTGTTGCTGTTGTAATTGCTGTTTTTGTTGTTGCTGCTGTTGCTGCTGGTGATAATGAGGATGCATGGGTCTTTGCTGCTGTTGTACATTTGCCAAGGCTGGTGTTTGTTGCACATTAAAACCTGGTCTAGTTTGATAACGTGGCTGTTGTCCATTTGTATTATGCTGCTGTTGTTGCTGCATTATAGAGGAGGTAGCATAGGGTGCCGGTGAAGAGGCATTTTTACGTCCTATACCATATTCACTGCCAGTTTTGCCAAAACTTGTTACTTCTGCATAGTCGGTGGGTATATTGGAATATTCACCCACATATCTAGAGAAAGAGAGAGAAGAGAAAAAATGTTTTTGGTTTCAATATTTATGGCTTTAAATTGTTTTTAAATGTTTTATATAGTTTTATTTAAATATACATGTTTTTTTGTTAAATTAATGGTTATATTTTTAAGCTGCTTATAGAGCTGGTTTATTTAAAAAATTTATTTGAAACTTTTATTTTTTTTAATAAAATTTGAGGTTTATTATTTAAATTATTTGGCAAGGATTAAAAAAATGTGTTGCTTTTTTTCAGGTTTGCTTTATTTTTAGGGAAAAAATTTGTTTGCAAATATTTTAATCCTTAAATTTATTAAAAATTCTGTAAAAATATCAATATTTTTGAGCGGAAATATGGGTTAAAGGTTAAAGTTTGCCGGTTGTCAAACAGAAGGTTATTTTACTGAATTAATGTGAATTTAACAGACACATAGATAGACAGGTATACTAACATACATACTGATAGACAGACAGATGGACAGACGGACAGACAGACAGATGGACAGACGGACAGACAGACACAGAGACATACAGATATACAGACATACAGACAGATAGACAGACGAATAAACAGACAGACAGGCGGACAGACAAACAGAAAATGGATGGACGGACGAATATATAGACATAAGTACCTATCAAATATTCTTAACTAAATATTTTTGAAGGGAAATATGGGTTAAAGACTAGACACACAGATATACAGGTATACTAACAGACATAAACACAGCTAGGTAAACATATAGAAATACAGACATACACACAGACGGACAAACAGACAGGCGGGCAGACAGACAGACAGGCGGGCAGACAGACAGACAGAAAAACAGAGAATGGATGGACGGACGAATATATAGACATAAGTACCTATCAAATATTCTTAACTAAATTTATGATTAAGTTCCTCGAAATCAGACTATAAAATTATAAAATTAGTTTTTAAAATTTTGACTAACAGTACGTATGTATGATTAATATTAATTATTAAGAGAAACATACTTCTTTAGTTTAACTCAAAAACTAAAAGCTTTTAAAACTTTAAATGAAAAATATTTAAATGTTAAACTCTTAAGCACATCGTAATAGGTTTTTGTAAATAAATTAATTTTAAATAAACCTTTTTATTCATAACAAAATATTCCTTCAAAATATCTAGATATTATTATAATTAAATTAATTATGGTCATTAAATATTTGTGTAATTATTTAAATTTTTTGTTTGCTTTAAAAATTGCTAAAAATTTAACCCTTTTCCTTTACAATTTATTGATTATTAATCAATATTAAACAAAAACAAAAAAAGTAAAAATGATGAAGTGAACTTCAATTATAATTACTATTTTAATTAATAATATTTTATATATGTCGTGTGACAAAAACAAATATTTCTAGAATTTTTATAAAAAAAAAAACTATAAACAAACAGCGTAGTTATATTTATATAAAATTAAAATTTAACAAAAATTTTTTTGTAATTACCCTGATTAAACTACGCCTTTCTATATATTTATTACTTTTTTAAATCATAATTATTATTTTTAAAACAACTATATATATATAGTATTTATACTTATAGTGGCTTCATAACTAATTAAAACAACATAAATATTTAAATAAAATACACAAACATTACAATTTTGCATATCACAACAACAAATAATTATAATGAAAAAAAATTATTTTTATGCTTATCAAACCAAATCATAAAGTAGAGAAAAAAAAATATCATTAAACAAGCAGAAAATTTGCTGGAAAATAAGCACATTTAAACAGATTTAATTATATATAAATATAATTTAATTTAATATTTAAATATTAAAATCATATACAAATTTAAGTCTCTGTAACTTTTTGTCATATTACATAAAAATCATGTTTAATAATCGTAATAATAATTATATTGTATATACAAAAAATGTTTGTTGCTATTGTTTCAACACTTTAGTTGTAAATAAAATGTATAAATTACCAATTGTTTCAAAGCTCAATAGACATTTATTAAACACCAAAAGTATTGTTATATTTTCAACAATTATAAATAGCAGGCCTTTAGAAATTGTTATTTGTTTTTATTTTATAAAAATTTTTTTTCTCATTTAGGCCATAAATTATAAAACAACAATATAATTGTTGCAAAAATGGAAAAAAAAAATTAAATATATAAAATGTTGGCTATATGAGTATTTCTATAGATGAGAGAGAGAGAGAGTTAGGCAAAGAAATAGCGAAATTATGCTAAATAGTTATCAATGTGATATTAGAATAATGTAATTTTTTGTAGCTAATACATATTTGTTTAAAATAAATTTCATACATAAATTAAATATGTTGCGAAGTTTTACTAATTTCATTAAAATATTGTAAGTTTTTTAAAAAATTTTCAAAATTTTATTGCCATAATTTAGCAATAAGTACATACGAAATGGCTTCTTGTTCTAGAACTGTACAAGAACTGAACTAGAATTGAACAGAACTGAACTAGAATTGAACTAGAACTTAACTAGACTGAACTAGAACTGAACTAGAACTGAACTAGAACTGAACTAGAACTGAACTAGAACTGAACTAGAACTGAACTAGAACTAAAACTAGAACTGAACTAGAACTGAAACTAGACTGAAACTAGAACTGTAGAACTTAACTGAACTGAACTAGAAACTGACTAGAAAACTAGAACTAGACTGAACTAGAACTGAACTAGACTGAACTAGAACTGAACTATAACTGAACTAGAACTGAACTCAACTGAACTTGAAACTGAACTAGAACTGAACTAGAACTGAACTAGAACTGAATAGAACTGAACTAGATAATTGAACGAACTGAACTAGAACTGAACTAGAACTGAACTAGAACTGAACTAAAACTGAAACTAGAACTGAACTAGAACTGAACTAGAACTGAACTAGAACTGAACTAGAACTGAACTAGAACTGAACTAGAACTGAACTAGAACTGAACTAGAACTGAACTAGAACTGAACTAGAACTGAACTAGAACTGAACTAGAACTGAACTAGAACTGAACTAGAACTGAACTAGAACTGAACTAGAACTGAACTAGAACTGAACTAGAACTGAACTAGAACTGAACTAGAACTGAACTAGAACTGAACTAGAACTGAACTAGAACTGAACTAGAACTGAACTAGAACTGAACTAGAACTGAACTAGAACTGAACTAGAACTGAACTAGAACTGAACTAGAACTGAACTAGAACTGAACTAGAACTGAACTAGAACTGAACTAGAACTGAACTAGAACTGAACTAGAACTGAACTAGAACTGAACTAGAACTGAACTAGAACTGAACTAGAACTGAACTAGAACTGAACTAGAACTGAACTAGAACTGAACTAGAACTGAACTAGAACTGAACTAGAACTGAACTAGAACTGAACTAGAACTGAACTAGAACTGAACTAGAACTGAACTAGAACTGAACTAGAACTGAACTAGAACTGAACTAGAACTGAACTAGAACTGAACTAGAACTGAACTAGAACTGAACTAGAACTGAACTAGAACTGAACTAGAACTGAACTAGAACTGAACTAGAACTGAACTAGAACTGAACTAGAACTGAACTAGAACTGAACTAGAACTGAACTAGAACTGAACTAGAACTGAACTAGAACTGAACTAGAACTGAACTAGAACTGAACTAGAACTGAACTAGAACTGAACTAGAACTGAACTAGAACTGAACTAGAACTGAACTAGAACTGAACTAGAACTGAACTAGAACTGAACTAGAACTGAACTAGAACTGAACTAGAACTGAACTAGAACTGAACTAGAACTGAACTAGAACTGAACTAGAACTGAACTAGAACTGAACTAGAACTGAACTAGAAACTGAACTAGAACTGAACTAGAACTGAACTAGAACTGACTAGAACTGAACTAGAACTGAACTAGAACTGAACTAGAACTGAACTAGAACTGAACTAGAACTGAACTAGAACTGAACTAGAACTGAACTAGAACTGAACTGAACTAGAACTGAACTAGAACTGAACTAGAATTGAACTAGAACTGAACTAGAACTGAACTAGAACTGAACTAGAACTAGAACTGAACTAGAACTGAAATAGAACTGAACTAGAACTGAACTAGAACTGAACTAGAACTGAACTAGAACTGAACTAGAACTGAACTAGAACTGAACTAGAACTGAACTAGAACTGAACTAGAACTGAACTAGAACTGAACTAGAACTGAACTAGAACTGAACTAGAACTGAACTAGAACTGAACTAGAACTGAACTAGAACTGAACTAGAACTGAACTAGAACTGAACTAGAACTGAACTAGAACTGAACTAGAACTGAACTAGAACTGAACTAGAACTGAACTAGAACTGAACTAGAACTGAACTAGAACTGAACTAGATCTACACTAAATCTGAACTGTAATTGAAATAGAACTTAAAATTAATATTTTTTCATTTTAAATTTTATTTATCAAAATTTCCCAAAACACATCAATTGAAATAATTCCCTGTGTAAATCGATCAATATTAATCATACGCTCAGTATCACTAAACAAATAATAACACTTATACGCTTAATTGAATTTTTGCATATACATTTCTAAATATTTATTTATATTAAAAAAATCCCCTTAAAAATATATGAATAGTTTAAAATAAATCCTTTAAATCTATTATTTCCCTCAACATAAAAAAATACAAATACTATAACACTTTAAAAATTTCGTTTATTTAACAAAGCTGCTGTAAAAATATATTTATCGGTTAAAATTTTATAACAAACTTTTCAATTTTTATGAAAAAAAAAAAAATTCTATTTATTTTCATTAGAACAACAAACTGTTATAAAAAAGCAGAAATAAAATAACTAAAATATAGTGATAGTTTTATTTCGAGAACAACATTTTAAAGCCCTCATAAAAATAAATGTTTGTTTCTAATTAAACATTTAAAAATTTTAGCACCATAGACAGCTCAAAAATAAAAAAAATTTAATAAAATATGCTTAAACTATATATGTATATGTAGTTACAAAAAATATATACAAAACTTACCTTTGTTGCTGTCCCCCTACCCCGCTGCCATTATTGCCATTACGTTCGTTTGTGCCATTTGTACCATTAGCTGTATTGTTTGTTAGACATACTGGTGCATAGTCATCAATTTGATCCTTTTGCATATCGAGTGTATCACCACTGGGCTGTGTACGCCATACCATGCCACCCGTTGAAGCATCTAACCAATAACCATTGCCATTACGTGATAAACTGGGCATTTTTAAAACATCATTCGGATGAGTACCTATAAAACAATATATATAGAAGGAAAAAATATCGTTTAGAAAAAAATTTGTTTTATAAAAAATGGATTTGTGTCTAGAATGGAAAAAACAAGGATTTGTTAAAAAATGTATGTAGTATATTGTCAGCATTAATTGTTGTTGCAAACAATAGTGTTATAGTGTCTAACTACTGAAAAAAAAAACAAGAAATTAAAATGATTTTTCATTTAGTTTGTTTTTCTTGTATTTTTTTAGTTTGTGTATTTGTGGAGGTTTGATAAATTGTATGGATGTTCTGGTCATGTTAACTATTTAGTTAATTAACATGACATGACAGAGGGAAACGTAGTTAAAAAAAATGTTTTTATCGAATTTTTGTTGATAATAAAATTTGTATGTTAAAAAGTTTGTTTTTTGAGTTTAGCAAGGACGATTCGTTTTTTATTTCCTTTTCCTTTTTGTACAAATTAAAACATCAATTTCCTTAGAGATTAAAATAGTAATGATTTGTGTCAAAGGGTTTATTTGATAAATAGTGACAAAGAGAAAATGTTGAAAAAAAAGCAGCTTAACAAAAGAAAAAACGATTGGAAATAAATGTGAAATGAAAATAAAGCTTAATTTTCCAATAAAAAACTGTTAAATACAAATATTATAAAAGAGCTTTTAATACTAAAAATATTCTTCATAATAAAACTTTAAACTTCTGGTTTGCTTTATGTCTTTCAAAGCTTTTAAACTAATTACTTCAATCAAGTTTTTTAACATGAAAACTGTGGTATGTAACCAAAGCTTTAATGATAAAAGCTACAACTTTAAAAACTCTTAAGACTCGAAAACATATAAAAACTTGATAAAAAGCTTCCAAATTAACTTCTAAAATAAAAAGCTTTCAAATATAATTCCTTAGTTTAATAGTAAAAGCTTTATAAAGTGTTACAATAACTTTTTAAATGTAAAGCTTTAGAATTTGAATTCAAGCGAAAATGGAAAGCTATGGAATTAACTTTACTTAGAAAAAACTTTTGTTATTAAAGATCAAAATGAAAGGCAATGGAAAGTAAAGCTTACTGAGTTTTATTTAATACGAATGCATTATTCAAAAAGCTTTTTTGAAATGGAAAGCTTTGGAATTAGCTTTATTTAGAGAAAGCTTTTGTTAGTTATAATCAAAATGAAATGCAATGGAAAGTAAAGCTTACAGAGTTAGAAAAGCTCACAGCAGACATACAATTCACACTAAAAGCTTTACAGTTTAATGGTAAACAAGGAAGTGATCCCGCATCATTGGATTATTTGCAAAAGCTTAAAGCGTTTCTTAAAACGTAAATGGAAAGTTTTAGAATTAAATTTATTTAGAGAAAGCTTTTGTTATCGTAATGAAAGGCAATGGAAAGTAAAGCTTACAGAGTTAGAAAAGCTCATAGAAGACATCCATTTCATACTAAAAGCTTTACAGTTTAATGATAAACAAAGAATTGAACAAAAGCTTTTTAATGGAAAGTTTTGGAATTAAATTTATTTAGAGAAAGCTTTTGTTATTCAATATCACAATGAAAGGCAATAGAAAGTAAAGCTTACAGAGTTAGAAAAGCTCATAGAAGACATAAATTTCATATTAAAAGCTTAGCAGTTTAATGAAAAACAAAGAATTAAGCAAAAGCTTAAAATTTTTCTTGAAGCGTAAAGCTTTAAGCAATTAGAATACATTGCTAGAAAAGCTTTTTTGAAATGAAAAGATTTGAAATTAAATTTATTTAAAAAGAAAAAACTTTTGTTACAGAGCTAGAAAAGCTTCTAGCTCTGTAAGCTTTAAAATATTATATGACAAAAGCTTAAAGGGTTTCTTGAAATGTAAAAAAATTAAAAGTTTTTTGGAAAGCTTTTTTCAGTTAATAGCTTTTTATAGCAGCTTATGAATGAAAGCTTTTTAATATCAAAACTGGAACAAAATCCCTTTAAAGCTTTTTATAATTTAACAAGTACTGGAATTTTTCAAGCAAAACTCTTTATTTAAAAACCCATTTCAAATGATTTACCACTGAATGTAAAAACCAAAAACAAGAAAAAACTTTAGCCCTTCTTTGCCAAACAACAACTGCAACAACAACAACAATTATAAAGCATGATAAAGCAGAAAATTTACCCTGGTTTTTTTGCATTTACTTTGAGGTGGTTGTATTAAAGGTAAGAAAAACTTTTATTTACACCTGCTCGTTTAACAATGATTTTTCAAGTGGCTTTTGCTGATTTTTGTAGTTGTTGTTGTTGTTGAAAAAAGTTGCTGTAGTAGTCTATAGTAGTTAGTTGTTGATTTAAACGAATCATACAATATTCAAAACAACTAAAGCAACAGCAACATAAACAACACTCGTTAACTTTTGATGAAGGCAACAAAGCGCAAAATGAAAAGTACTTTTGCCACTTAACAAAAAAAAAAAAAGTGGAAAAAATTTAAAATAAAGGAAAACTTAACAAAAACTAAACTTTTCTTTAAGCTTAAAATTTAAAAAAAAATAAAAAATCCTACTAACCTCTAATGGTATTTAAGGCAGATTGTTTCATCATCATATGTTTACGCTTGACAAAGACCATGGCGCCAAAGGATAACATCATAACCGCCAATATAGCACCCAATAATATAATAAACCATGGTTGAGTAAGCACATCATCGACATGATCTTGATTTATGGGATAACTATAAATAATATATGAGAAAAAAGAAACAAAATTGTTTATGAATAAAATCCAATATAAAAAATTAACATATTTAAATTTTAGCGAAAATAGAAACTCTCTAACTTACCGTTGATTTATGAAAGGATCCAAACGTTTAGTAACCGGATCTAATCTTAAAGTAGCCGGTACACAATAGGGACCCACACCCGCATTATTACCAGCTGCCACACTGACAGTATACATAACACCTTCGGTTAAATTGGCCAATACCAAAGTGGGTGAAACAGCATCAATTGTGACATTTGTTAGAATACGTGAAAAGTTATGAGCTGTATCGATGCCCCTTACAACAATGTGATAGTATAACAAAATGCCTAATGAGATGGGAAAGAGAGAAAATAAAAACGGAAAGGGATTATAGTAAATATTTAAAAAGAGATTAGTAAACAATTTTTCCTTCTGTAGAAGAAAAGGGTTCCAAAAAATTTCTTTCTTGCTAATTTTTGCCATTTAAGCATAAATTATATAGCTACACATGTGTTCTTTTTTCTTCCTGTAGTCCTTTTTTATTGTTATTATTTGTATATGTAGTTTTTTTGTTATTGTTAAACTTACCATGTGCTGGTTTAAGATTTGGCTGTTTCCATTTCAAAAATACTGCCGAAGAATTTAATAATATGGCTTCCATACCAAATGGTGCTTCATTGGGTGCTGAAATAGTTAAATGAAAATAAGATAAATATTATATAATATGCAAAATGTTTATTTAATAGGATTTATACTAATTAGTTTATAATTATTATAATTATGGAGATTTTGGTTTTGCTTAACAAATGAAAGATTTGAAAGGAGTCGTTGAAGTTTAATGCAGCAAAGTATTGCTTAAATGTTCTAAAGTAAAGTTCAGTAGTAAAATGTACAAACATATTTCCTTATAATGATTCAGTAGCTTTAGAACTTTTACTAACAAGATTCTAGAACTCTAGCAAAAAAGCTTTTCAGAAACTTTAAACAAACATATTTAGAAATATGTTTCTAATTCCAATGTTTATAAAAAGCTCACTAAGCTTAAGCAAAAGATTTATAATAAGTATATTAAGTTATATTAAAAGCTTTTGAAACTTTAAAAATCGTAAAAAAATTTTTCCTCATACAGATTTAGAAGCTTTAGAGCTTTTACCAAAAGGATTCTAGAACACTAGCAAAAAAGCTTCTCACAAACTTGAAGCAAAAAAGCTTTATAATAAGAAAATGATTTATAATAAGATGATGAATGATTTCTTTGCTTTCGAAACTTTATATTGAAAGCTTTTAATGTTTTATAAAAAGCTTTTGAAACTTTTTAAAAAGCTTAACATTTATAGAGGGTTTACAAAGCTCCATAAAAAGCTTTAAAGCTTTTTGAAAAGTCTTTAAAAGTTTAACAGAAAGCTTTTTATACTTTTTCAAAAGCTTTCGGAAAAACGTTTGAAGCTATACTAGAAGCATTTAATGTAAAAGCTTTAAAAACAATTAAAAATATTCATAAACCTAAAAGATTTGAATAGCGAAAATTGAAAGAAAAGCTACAAAAAAGCTCTTTTTAAACATTATAAATTTTTTTCTTCAAATCCATAGCCTTCGCTCCAACAACTTTACACAATCCTTTAACTAAGTTCCTCAGCTTTTTAAAAGCTTGGAAAACTTACAAAGCTCCATAAATTGCTTTTAAAGCTTTTAAAAATTTAACAAAACACTTTTGATATAAAATATCATCAAGCTTTTAAAACAATTATAAGTGTACATAAATTTAAAAAATTTGAATAACGCAAATTGGAAGAAATCTACAAAAAGCTCTTTTTGAACATCATAAAGCCTTGGCTCAAACAACTTTGCACAATCCTTTGACTAAGTTCCTCAACTTTTTAAAAGCTTAACTTTATAAAAAGCTTAACTTTTGTGGAATGCTTACAAAACTCCATTAAAAGCTTGTAAAGCTTTATAAACGTCTTTAAAAGTTTAACCAAACACTTTTGATACAAAAGCTTTCAGAAATGCAGTTCAAGCTGTAGTATAAGCATTTGATGTGAAGAAAAGCTACAAAAAGCTCTTTTTTAACAAAATAAAGTTTTTTCTTCTTCGCTAAACAACATTACACAATCCTTTAACTAAGTTCCACAACTTTTTAAAAGTTTAACTTTTGTGGAAAACTTACAAAGCTCCATAAACAGCTTTATAAAAGTTTTTAAAAGTTTAACAAAGCACTTTTGATACAAAAGCTTTCAGAAATGCAGTTGAAGTTGTACTATAAGCATTTGATGTAAAATCTATTAAAACAATTAAAATTTTGCATAAAATATAAAGTTGTTAATATCGCAAGTTCGAAGATTAACAACAAAAAAAACCCTATTTTATCATGAAAACATAAATTTCAAAGTCTCCACTCCATTTACGCAATCCTTTAACCAAATTCCGAAAATTTTCCATCAACTGCAAATATTCAAATTTCTACCCTCATCTCAAACCCAAAACCCATCTGTTTTGCCCTACAAAATAATCATTTTAATAGAACATAACCTTTAGAGATAAAAGCCAAAAGAAAAAAACTTTCATCAATTTAATCTATAACTTTTGCTGCTTAACAACAAAACATTAATTTGTATCGTAAACTTTCTCCTAACACATTTATCAAAGGGAAATATCTACGTTTTATCTGCTTCAATAAATATTTAATACGCAAAAATTATGCAGCTGATGTCAAAAAAAGGCAAAATTTTTTAAACAACAAAGTTAAAGATTTGTTAAAAGAAATCAAAGATAACAACATATGATACTCAAATTTTGAAAGAAGTTAAAGAAATAAAATCTAAATTGCAAATAAATCATAAAAGGAAGAAGAAAGAAAAAACTGTGACAAACTAGTGGCAAAAGTTTTAAACGTTAGGACTATAAAAGATTACAAAACTAGAAAAAGTTAATGGAACACTTTTCAAAACTTTAGAAATTTTTCTTTTAGTACAATGACAGCATTAATTTAAAATAATCATACGCCCCCATATGCTAAAAGTTATATAACATCTTTACTATAGAATAACAATCATACGCCTGCGAATACTTTTTTAATTTTAAATATTAAAATATTTTTTAAACAATTTTCAAGAAATTCTTTTACAAAAATAACAATAATTTTCCTTTTTTGTTTTATTATAAATATAAATTGTATTAATATTACTCATACGTCTTAATGAAAAAATTTTTTTCGTTAATTAATTTTAAACAATTTATTTAAAAAACAAAGAAAATATCTTTTGTTTTTGTTGTTGTATTTTAATAAAAACTCATAACTTTTCTGTTTGTATTAAATGAAAAGAATGTTTTTTTTTAGAAAAAAAGCACAGCATTTATACTTTTGTTTAAACAATCATAGTTGATTACTTTAAATAACCACAAAACTTTAGTAAAATATAAAAGAATGTTGAAGAAAGAATAAAAAACTCATGTGTTATTAACCCATGTAAGACTAACCTCAGAAATTTAAAGAAAATTTCGTTTAGATAGGAAAATTAAAGAAAATTTTATAAAATTTAAGAAGGAACGTCAGGAGGAGTTCTTTAAGAAATTTCTGTTCAAATTTCCATTTACTTGTTTTTAACGGGTTAATTTTCATTTTGCTGTTTCCATACATTCAGTATTTTCTCTCTTTGGTAAATAAAAATAAACAAGTACGCACTTAAGTAGGAAAATATAAACATAAACTCACACACACACACATGTTCTCAAATATAGTCTAACCGTCTCGTATTTGAAACAAAAACAAATACAACATATATAAATACATATATAGAGCCATTATATTTCACTATATGTATTCTAATATATGTATGTATAGCAAAAAAACATGATAAGATATACCAGGCTAACAGAAACAGCTAGAAAATGTTACAAACCAAATTAAACAGACAACGCTAAAAACAAGCACTATAACAATAATAGCAACAAACAACAACAAAACAAAAGCAATAGTAGCAGTATTTGAGTTGTTCAAAAGAAATAAAACAACAACAACAACAACTAAAACTTAAATAGAGAAAAACAAAACTCATCTCCATTTGTTTATTTATAAGCTTGAATAAATGTGCTGAATGTCGGAGCTTTTTATAAATGTATTTATACATTCACACACACACATGTACATATGTACGTATTTATGTATGCATGAGTGTGTGCTGAAAATATGACGATGAAGCTGTTGTTGTTGATAATAAAACAACAGTAAAACTAAACGCTATAGACACCAGTACGTATACGTAGTATGTATGAATGCTGCTACTTGGCGCTTTTTTATACCCTACACCACTTTAGTGGGGAGTGTATATTGGGTTTGTGCTGATGTTTGTAACGCACAATAATATTGGTCCTATACGCACCTTAAAGTAAACCAATCGACTGAGAATCATTTTCTGAGTCGATTTAGCTATGTGCGTCCGTCTGTCTGTTTGTCTGTCTGTCTGTCTGTCTGTCTGTCTGTCTGTCTGTCCGTCCTTCCATGTAAACATTGTAATCAAACTACAGGTCGCAATATTGAAGATAATTCAATGAAATTTGGTACATGATCTTCTATTGTCCCAGGGATGAAGCCAATTAAGATCGGTCCATTATTTCACCTAGCCCCCATACAATTGAACCCCAGAATAGGGCTTGTAAACCTTGTAATCAAACTACAGGTCGCAATTTTGAAGATAATTTAATGAAATTTGGCACATGCTCTTTAATGGTTCCGGAGACGAAGCCTATTGAAAATGGTTAAGATCGGTCAATTATTTCACCTAGCCCCCATACAACTGAACCCGACGAAAAGGGCTTTTAAGTTCATAATTATGTTTAATATACTCGTATCTCGACAAAAAGCTGCAAAACCAAGTTCTATACTAGCCTTGATGACTCTCATGATGTTTATAGTTATAGGGTCTCATTTAACCATAGCCCCTATACAAAGCCCCCTTCAAAATTTGACTTAAATGTTTACAATTTTATTCAACAATAAATGGTATATCTGAGGCAAGGTATAATTCAACTTAAATGCTTTATTATGAAAACTAAATTACAGTTTATTTTTGTAACAGGTGTATAGGGTATTATAAAGTCGGCCTCGACCGACTATAATTTCTTACTTGTTTTTACAGTGTTTTGTTTTTGTTCATTTCTTTTTTTTTTTTGCTGCATACTTTTAAAAATTTTTTCTGCCATATTTGTATGGCAAAAACAAAGTAAAGTAATTTCTTTGAGTAAACATTGAGTCTTTTTATTACACCAACACATATCATAACACACACACTACTACCAGTATATACCCAAAGGTGCATTTGAAGAATAAGAGCATTTTGTTTGTAATATTAAAGAAATGAGTGAAAACAAATAAAGAAATAACATATCGAGGTTGGAGAAGGGTTTTTTCCTTTTCGCCTGTCTCCTGATGCTGCTGCTCTATTATATTGTGTTGTAACTGTATGTGTTTGTTTGAAATTGTGCTTTTGTATTAGAACAAACTGTTTGTATGTGTATTGGAGGTGTTTTTTTTTCTCTGAAAGTTATATTTTGATTGTTTTTTTGTGTTATCCTTTTTGTTATGTTATAGGTATTTACATTTGTCAGGACTTTTACCCTACCAGGCTTTAGTTGGGACTTTTTGCCAGTTATAGGGTTTGTTTTTGGAGCTACTTTTTCCAAAGAGGGTTAGAGGAGTTTATTTAAAAGTTTTGCTCATATATTTATCATTATTATTAAATATTTAAAAATTAAACAAATTAAGCTTGTTTATTAGGTAAATAATGGTAAGGTTAAGCAAAAGTATTGTAAATGATTGTAAATTTAAACATTTCAAAAATTTGCAGTAAAAAATTTTCTTTCTAACTTTGCCTCTGTGGATGTAGTTCATTTGGTCGTTGTTGTTGAGCTTTAATTTCCGTTTTTCATTTTGTATTATTATCTGTTTCCACATCCACTTTTGTGTTTTTGTTAACAACGTGCTAAAGTACTTTAAAAAAAAAAAACAATAAAAATGCAATAACATAAACACAGACTTTACAACAACAATTTAACGTTTTGCATACAATCTTTGTGCATGTGTGTATCATTAGCTTAACCCTGCAGTTTACAGTAGGTAATAGGAAATTCTGAATTTACCCTTAATTTGGAGAGTCTTGGGGGTAAATGAAAGTAATTTTCCTTCCATTAGAAATGACCTTTAAAGTACGAAAATAATTTTCTGGGTGATTACTTTAGGGACATAAAAGTAACGATTCAGTATACTCGGGGACACTAGAGTGACGACTAAGGGGTACATAGGAACACATCAGAGTAATATCATGTCTCGCTAGATTACTTTAGAGACAAAAACCTATCTATTGACTCTCTCTTTTCATTTCTAAAAGCATATATGAGCCGAATCGGCTATTCTTTAGATTACTTAGGGACACTAAAGTGACAATTGACTCTACACTAAAGTGATCAATAACTTTCTGCCTGTATTGCACAGTAAACATGTCTTTTCTGTAGATTACTCAGAAACATAGTGTAACGATTGCTCTGATATTTTGTAAAAAATTCATATTGCCTTCAAAGAGACACATTGACTTCTCCCTAAAAACTACCGATAAAAAGTTCAGTTCTATGAAATGCATGTTTTTATACATTGTTTTTGTTTAAATTGCATACAAATTGCAGCACGTAACAACAGTTGACAGTAAATGTTTCGTGTTGTTTTCTTCTTATTTCATAACAAAACAAACATTATAAGAAAAAAAATGTTTCCATATACCTACAGCTTCAGCTAAATAAATACTAAATAGCAGCAAGAAAAAAATAACATTTGTTAAAAGAAAAGGATTTACAACAGCAACCCAAAATAGAACTCTTCATATATTTACACACATATACATATAAAAGAAAGAAACGTGAGCTGGCATACCTTTACAGTTTAAAGGTAAACATTTTTGTGGTTGCATTTCCTTATATATTCAAGAGCTAAATACAAACATTTTAACACATATGTATATGGATGTATATGTTTATATATAGACTTGTGTGTTTGTTAATATGCATGTATAAGGATATGTAGGGCTAGTGTTTTTTTATGTTATGCTATGACATCATGTCTCTGATGAGACTGCTTGTACATGTGAAGTTTGCATTTGTTGTCTTAATATTGTACACAAATTAGACATAAGCAATTGGAATAATATACATGTAGATTAGAAAAAAAAAAAAACAAGTCAGGGCACTTGGTCATGTTAACAAGAGCGAATATAAAATACCCTACTTAATATCAAATCTAATACATAAAACGTTTAGAAAATGTACTTGCTGTTCACTTCCTAAGAAGTAGTTCTCGAATCCAAACTATCAAATTTCATTCTCAGTTTTTAACTGTTATTTACGAATTGTTTTTATTTTTAGAAATCTAATAACTTTTAGCAAATGTCTCTTTTAGACTAATAAACCTAGTAACGCATAAAGTAAAGCGCCTAAAAGTAAGCAGGCAAAAATATGTTAAAAAAAATGTTGCATATTTATCTGAAATAATTGTTGTTTATCTTAGCATGAGTTGTTGGTTAGGGTAAAAAAAAATCCTTGACAAAAATTCAGTTTTAATGTGGAAAAACAAAAAAAGCTAAAAAATCATACAAATGCATATGAAAAGCATAATGAGTTTTGTATTTAAGTTAACCCTTTAAGAGCCAAAAAAGGGACCTATTTATTATGAAGAAAATACTAAACTTTCTAAAGAACTTTTTGAAATATAAAATACATTTTTTTTTGTAATTATAAAAATAATTTCATATGTATAATATTTAACTTTCTTGTTTAATTGAATTTAAAATAAATTCTAAAGCCTACTTCAGGGAGTTTATATTTAAATAAAATCGTAATTATAGTGATTTAATAAGATTTTTAGTTATATTTTCTTAAAAATATTCTATTCATATACAATATCATAGCATACTTTGAAGCTGGCTCATAGGAATTAGTTATTCCCAAATTATAGCATATCGTAAGGCTGTTTTAATTTAACCACTAATATAAAACTAAAGTTAACAGTTTTTGTATTGAATTTAAAACAACATTTTGTTCAATTTTTTGTTGTTTTTTTAACAATTTAAATTTCCCAATAAAACGACTTGTTTCTAAAAGTAAAGCATACTTTTAGGGTGACATTTTAAGTTATTTAAATATTCTCTCTTAAATGAGCAGAATATTAGTCATTAGCTTTAAAATTCGTTTATATTTAGAGGCTGAATGGTTAGAACAATTTACTCGGAAATTAGAGCATATCTTAGGGCTGATTATATATTATAACAAATTTTGAATTAAGTTTTTGAGTCTCTTTAGTGGAATAATTTAGTTATTTTAATCCTAATTCACAATTCTTAAGGTTGCTACTATTAAAACAAGTTCATTTTAATAACTTACTACTAAACTAAAGCCTACTTTTAGGCATCAAACTTTAAATAAATCTACTGCCTATCTTACAGGCTGATAACTTAAACCTTACGCTTCTCAAAAGATTAAAAACCTAATTTCAATCTTTTTTCACCCTCTACTCCTTTACACACAACTGCACTTTATCATAATCCTCTAGAGATTTTTGTTCTAGAGATTTTGGTCTAAACCAAATAAAAAAAGTGCATCATAATATTGCCTTGACTTTATTTGTTGTAAAAAATTTATTTGTTTTATTTTTAATTATTTTCTGTCATATATGTTTTTTGTTTTTGCTTTTGTTAAGAGACACAAAGTGTCTGGAAAGTTACAAAAGATGCTGCTGATTTTTAAGGGTTTCTAAGCTTTTGGCATCTTTTGAAAGGGGGTTAAAATAAGAATCATAAACTTAAAACTTTTTGCACAAAAATTGTGGGGGTTTTTAATGTTTTATGAAATGAAGTTTTCCGAAAAACTCCTACATATGAAAACATGTGTTTATTTTTATATGTTATCGGAGATAAAAAAACTTTTGAGACTAGAAAAGGTAATAAATTGTTTAAAGAAAAACAAAATATTTTAATTGATAGTCAATAAAGAGAAAGTTAATAAACTAGAAGAAATAATAAAATTAACAAAAAAAAATAAAGAACTAAGAATTGTTTTAAACTTCAAAGCAAAACTTCAAAACTTGAAATTATAAATCCGTAGATAATTTTGTACAAATAAAAGATTCTTAAATTTTAAAAAATTTTTAAATTTCACACATAATTTTTATGCCCAAATTTCCTCAAATCTTTCTCTATTGTTAAACAAATAAAATAAAAATCCCATTATAAAATTCACCAAAAAAATATTAAATCAAATAAAACATTAAACAATAATAATAATAATAATCTCCCCCCAAAAAAAAAGAGAATAAATAAAATAAATAACAATGACGACACACTTACCATCTTCTAAAGTTCGTGCCACACGTGAATTTGATGGTTTACCCTCGACCGATTTATAAAAGGGTACAATGAAAAATTCATATAAAGTATATTGTAAAAGTCCAGTCATGGTACAGGATGAGGCACCACCACCATTCAAAATGGTCAACATACGATACGAAGTACTACCAATATATGAAGCGGCCGATTGTAAAATGGAGGAGGGTGTGGTGGTCGAAGTTAACACATAGGGCGTACCATCACGTCTGGCAATATTTGGTTTTGAAGCTGAAATCAATGCGGATGAAGAGGCAGCTGTTGAACGGGTATTACTGTTACTGCTACGTGCAGCGGCTACTAATGGATTTGTATTGGCTGTAGAGCCAGATGAAGTTTCCATAAGTTGACGTGCGTAAATATAAAAACCCTCAACATATTTGCCATTGATGATCTGTAAAGGAATACATAAACAAGAAATAAAGTAGAGTTCACCAAAAAAAAGAACAGGAAATGAAAAATATAGTTTTGTTTAACAAAGTTTTAAAGAAAAACTAAATGAAATAGAAACCAAAAACCAACAAATACTAACCTGCCAAGATAATTTCATACTAGTGGAATCCACTACACTAGCATTGATAAGTTCTACTACATCTCCCGACAATAAACTGGCACGAGCTTCACTCAAATCTAAGCCACTATTAAAGTATTTCTAAATATATAAATAAAAAAAGAAAACAAAAAATTAAAAATTTAAGTTAAATTTTTCTCTAAAACAAAAAACTTACCGTTCCCACTGTGATGGGCTCCGATATGGGTGAAGGCAGCGACACTCCATGAGTATTTTCCGCTCTAATCAAAAAGAAATAATTTGTACCCGGCAATAAACCCACTTGTGTATAAGTGGTATTTTGAACTCTGGAAGCTACTTGCAACCAACCATCGGTTTCATTTTTGGCAAACATTTCCACTACATAACCCACCAAACTAGAGGCACCCACTTTATTACTGCGTGTCCAAGACAAACTAATCGAATCTTCAGTTTTATCCACCACTTGAGGTTTACCAGGTGGTCCAGGAAATGTCGAGAGCTCAGGTGCTCTAAAGAATTTGATATTAGGATTGGTGGGAGTATCCAAACGTAAATAACCACTCCAGGAAGATTTGCCATTACGATTGCTAGCCACACAGGTATATAAACCCTCATCTTCACCCTTCACCAAATCCACTATAGTCAATGCACCCATTTCGGACATATTGCGACGTTCATGTTCATTAACATCTACCGGTATACCATTCAAATACCACTGCACTTGAGGTATGGGAGAGCCCAACGTACGACAGGGTAGGGTAACAAAAGACTTAACGGGTAAAGTTTGATTAACAGGACCCTGTTCAATAACCGGTGGTGGCAATTCATATTGAGTATCTACCGTTACCACAATACGACTGCTAACACTACCCACAGCATTGAGAGCATTACAGACAATAACTTTGCCAGAATCTTCGCGTGCAAAACGGAATATGGAAAGTACCGAACGTCCCTCGGGTGTTAGCGTCACTTCAATGCGATTATCCTTATAGCCGGGGAAAAGTAAAGAGCTATTACCCTCCAAAGACCAATAGACGGTGGGCTTGGGATAACCACTAGCTTGACATTCGAATAAGACCTCATCGCCCACTTCAACGAATTGATTTTTAGGGCGTAAAGTAAATTTGGGAGGAGCTAAGGAACAAATAAACAATTTTATTTAAAAAAAATTATTCAAATTTTTTAAAAATAATTTAAAATTTATATTTATTTTATCAAACTTTTATAGAACAAATTTTATATGAAAATTTTTCTTATAAACCTTTCATAAATTGTTATGAATAAGTCTTTTAGTGTTTTGAAAAACTTACCATGAACTACTAAAGTTCCTGTGGCCGTTATAGAACCCACTGCATTATCAGCTTCACAAGTATATTCGCCCATATCTTCAAGAGTTATGTCATCGAGCTTTAAGCTACGATCTTCCAAAACGGTGACACGACCTTTAGAAGAAAAATTTACCAAATTTTAAAATATTTGTTAACTTTAAAAGAGGTTAAAAACAACAATCCATTTAATAAAAATTTATATAAAATACAAAAAGCTTTTTATAAGGAAATAAAAAGCTTTTTATATAAAATGTTGGAACAGACTTGAAGTCTAAAAAGCATAAAAAAACATTTTTTTTTATAGAAATGCTTAAATAAATAATTTTAGTGAATTATTTAGAAAGAGCTTTTTAAAGAAATACTTAGAAAAAGCTTTTTAATATAAATAGTCAGATCGAGCTTTTATACTAAAATGTTCGAAAAAAGCTTTTTTATATAAAATGTTCGAAAAAAGCTTTTTATATAAAATATTTGAAAAAGACTTTTATAAAAATATTAAAAAACTGTTTTTATAGAAAAGCTCAAAAATGCTTCAAAAAAATATTTTTTTGTAATGTTCGAAAGAAGCTTTTTAATAAAATGTTCAAAAACAGCTTTTTATATAAAATGTTCGAAAAAAGCTTTTTTATATAAAATGTTCGAAAAAAGCTTTTTATATAAAATATTTGAAAAAGACTTTTATAAAAATATTGAAGAACTGTTTTTATAGAAAAGCTCAAAAATGCTTTAACAGAAAAAGCTTTCTATAGAAAAGTTCAGAAAAATATTTTTATAGAAAAGCTTAAAAAGGTATTTGTTTTTATTAAAAAGCTTAAATAAAGCTTTTAAAAGAAAAGCTAAGAATGAAAAAGCCTACAAAAAGCTTTTTAACGTAAATGTTTAGAAAAGATTTTTTAATCTTTTTGTATAAAATCTTTAATTTTATAGAAAAGCTCAGAAAAAGAGTTTTGTGGAAAATTTTACAAAATACTCTTTTAGAGAAAAAAGTTTTTTATATAAAAACTTTTTCATAGAAAATCTTAGAAAAAGCTTTAATTAGAAAGAACAAAAGGAGTCTTCTTATAGAAAAGCTCTTACAAAGTTTTTTAAAGAAAAGCTCATAAAAAGCTTAAAAATGAAAAGAAATGAAAGAAAAGGCTTTATATAGAAAATGTTAGAAAAATGTTGTTGTAGCAAAGCTTATCATTTTGTAGAATGCATGGAAAAGACTTTTAATTTATTGGAAATTTAAGCTTTAAGTTCTTCCTTTAACTAAAGCTATTTTTTAATTTAATTACATATCCTCTCATTAGCAATTCACCATCTAAAGAACCACATTGCCATAAGATGACATTTACTATAAGCACAACTCTATATATTAAATCGAAAAATCTAAAAAGTTTGTAGAAAAACAACTTTTAAATAACCAAGAATAACCATAAAATCATTAAGTTATATTGCATTACCTTAAACAACATAATTGTTTGAAATACTACCCCCGACTTGAAAAATCTTTGACATCTTTTGCCAAAGAGGAATATTAAAATAGCAAATTTCATTAAACAAATCAAAAACCTAAAACCTCATAAAGTCAGATCTATGTAAAAGAAACTTCATTTAGACGTCCATAAAGTTAAGAGCAAAAATAACATGACTGTGTTTTTGAATCAAAAACCATACAGACTGAGACATAAAGTTGAGGTATATGAATACATTTTTTGGTAAATGTTAAAAGTTTTACAAAAATAGTTAGACACCATGTGTATGTACTATGTGGATCTATGACTATGACAATTTAAAGGAAGGTATCATATATAGATGACCGCTTACTGTGTTATGTGGTTTCCGGCTAATTGACAATAAGAGAAGGGTTAAACAAACAGAGTATAACCGCAAATGTTTATATACAGTCAACAAATATACAATAACAAAAACAAAAGTAAAATAAACATTACAAACACATATGAGAAAAAAAACATTGCTTGAGTATATATGTGTGTGTGTGTTAAATAAACATTTGCGTCCTATGCTCTGCTGGTTCCTGTTCCTTAAAATAGGTAATTTATTTAACATATTAAATGGATTGTTGTTAACATAGTATATTTTATCAAACAAAAAAGCGATTGTAAAATGAAAATTTTGTAAAATTGTTTAAATACACTTACGTAATGGCATATTACCACCAGAGGCAGTACGACGCCACAGGACATCCGGCAATGGATCACCACCAATGCGACATTGAAATATCACTGAGGTACCCACCACAGCAGTTTGATTTTGGGGGCCACGTATTAAAAATGGACGGGCTAGTAGTAAAAAAAAAAAATGAAGCAATTTCATTTAAAAACATATTTTATAAAATCCTTTAATTAATATAAATGTTTAAATAAAATTTAAAACATTTGACATGAATTTTACTTACTGTGTACTTTTAGAAAAGCTGTTGATGATTCTCTGGTACCCACTACATTTTTCACTACACACTGATAGCGTCCATCATCGGATTGTCTTACATCTTGTATGGCCAAATTACCACCATCAACTACTCGTATTCTTTTATTGCCATTTAAATTTAAAGTTTGTCCATTTTTACGCCATGATACTTGAGGTTCAGGTGATCCCCTAGGTGGTCCACATTCCATAATGGCTACCTCACCTTGAGCTACGCGGGTATTTTGGGGTTCTAAGCGAAATTCATCACGCAAAACTGTTTGAAAGAACGAAAGGAGATAATTTCAAATGTTACAAAAAGCTTTGAATTTAATTTCTAGAGAAAGAACTTGGGAAAGCTTTAAGCTGAATATATGATAGGAAAACTAAAATACATATTACAGTTTTCTTTAGGAAAGCTTTTAAAGCTTTTGAATTGTTTTTAAGAAATCTGAACAATTTTTGTTTTAAGGAAACTAAAGTTTTTGAATAAAGCTTTATATTAGTAAGTTTTTCATAAGTAACTTAAAGCTTTAAAATTCAAAAAAAAATTAAGATAGAGCTTTCTTATAAGGAACTTCGGTTTTAATTCTTTAATTTAATTTCTAGAAAAGGAACTTTTAAGAAAGCTTTAAGCTGAATATATGATAGCAAAACTAAAATATTACAGTTTTCTTTATAAAAGCTTTAACACAGTAAGCTTTCTGTATTACAAAATTTAAAGCTTTTAAATTGTTCTTAAGAAATGTGAACAATATATGTTTTAGGGAAACTAAAGTTTTCAATAAAGCTTTATATTATTAAGCTTTTCATAAGAAACTTAAAGCTTTTTAATTGTAAAGCTTAAAATAGAGCTTTCTTATAAGGAACATCAGTTTCATTGTGTTTTGTTTTTCAGAAAAGCTTCTTAATAAAAGATCTTTTAAAGCTTTTAAGTTTTTTGATGATATTTAAAGTTATATTTTTTTAAGTTTTTCAAAAAAGCTTTATATTAGTAAGCTTATCCTAAGAAACTTAAAGCTTCAATATTTAAAAGCTTAAAAAAGAGCTTTCTTATAAGGAACTTCAGTTTTATTGTGTTTTTCAGAAAAGCTTCTTAATTAGACATCTTTAAATGCGAAGATACTTTTAAAGCTTTTAAGTTTTTTGATGAAATTTAATATTATATTTCTTTAAAGCTTTTAAACTAGTTACTTACATGCCACTTGCAGTGTTGCATTACGTGATCTGGCCACACCAAACTCATTTTTAGCTTGACACCAATAAGTGCCGGCATCACTTTCACGCCGTGAATGAATAACCTGCAATGAAGAATACATGAATAAAAAAATTAATACACCATTTATAATAGAATTGCAAAAGCAAAGCTTTTATATCAATTAAAAGCTTTTGGGAAATTTTTTGTTGAAATGTTAAACAAAGAAACAGCTTTAAGTTACAGAAAGCTATTTTTAATAAATATTTTCAGTATTTGAAGCTTTTAACTAAATAAATAGTTGAAGCTTTTAACTAAAGCTAGAATTGCAAAAGCAAAGCTTAAATTTCAATTAAACCGTTAAAAGCTTTAGGACTTATTTTTTGAAATGATAACCAAAGAAAGAGCTTTAAAATATAGAAAGTTATTTTTAATTAATATTTTCAGTATTTGAAGCTTTTAACTAACTAGACAGTTTGAGGCAAAAGCAAAGCTTTAATTTTAATTAAACCATTAAAAGCTTTAAAACCTATTTTTTGAAATGATAACCAAAGAAAGAGCTTTAAACTATAGAAAACTATTTTTAATTTATATTTTCAGTATTTGAAGCATTTAACTAAATAAACAATTATGGCTTTCAAAGAAAGCTTCTTAAAATGTACACTTATCTTACAATATTTTTTAATATTAAACTTTTTCTCTTGTACTTTAAACTACTTAAAAGCTTTGACTTTAATTAAATTGTTAGAAGTTGTAAAATAGATTTCTCCCCTTAAAAACTTCACAAATTCCTTTAAATTATAAAACAATTAGAATTTTATCTTCATTTATAATCTCTTTAAACAAAACTGACACGTGTTCGAACATTTTACCCAACCATAACAAAGTCCTTTTAATTTTTTAACTAATTAAACAAACAAGCATTTGAAATTTTGCCATAGAAAATAATTTAAATAATTTCAAAAAAAAATTTTTAATAAAAATTTATTTTTCATTTGTAAATTTTAAATTAACATCCGTTATTAAATAGTTAGAGCTTAATACAATATTATATTTAATTATTGTCAATTTCTTTTAATGTTTTTAGACAACTAAAGTATTTTTTGTTTGGTTAGGGAAATGTTTTTGTTTAAATTTGTATTTAAAACAAAAAAGGAAACGAAAATTTATACTCTATAGTTTAAAATGTTTAAACAAAAAAAGTTTTAATATAAAAAACACAACAGCATTTGTTAAATGTTTATAAAAATAATATAAAATTTGTCATGTGTAAGTAATTTGTGGCTGGCCTTTTTTAATAAAAAAATTGTTTTCATAAAAAATATGTTTTTTATATTTAATATAATTTTCCTTTTTTTTTGATATTAACAAAAATGAATAGTAATTGCTAAATGATTATGATTTTGTTTAAACAGCAAAACAAAGTTACTTGTAGATTACATTTTTTTTAGGAAATTTAAGGTTTAAAGAGAATTTGATGAGACAGACACAGACACACACAGACAGACAGACGGACGGACGGACAGACAGAAAGTCAGACAGAGAAACAGACAGACAGAAAGACGTTCGGACGGACGGACAGACGAAAAACTTAATTTTTCTGTAACATTCTGATCATAAAAACTGCTTAAATAGTCTGCAGTCTTGTTCTTTTCATCACTTTTCAAAAATGTTTGTAATGATTCTATTAAATTTGGCAAAAATATTCTTTAGTGTGAACACGTTATTCAAGTATGACAATTATTTATACCCTACACCACTTTAGTGGGGAGGGTTTGTGCTGATGTTTGTAACGCACAATAATATTGGTCCTACACCCACCTTAAACTATACCAATTCGGTTTAGAATCATTTTCTGAGACGATTTAGATATGTCCGTCCGTCCGTCTGTCTGTCTGTCCATCCGTCCATGTAAACCTTGTAATCAAACTGCAATTTTGCAGATAATTCAACGGAATTTGGTACATGATCTTCTATACAAATGATCAGGGGTTCATAGGGCTTGTAATCAAACTACGCAATTTTGAAAATAGTTCAATGAAATTTGGTACATGATCTCCTATGGTTAACATCGGTCCATTATCTCACCTAGCCCCCATACAACTAAACCCCCGAATAGGGCTTGTAAACCTTGTAATCAAACTATAGGTAGCAATTTTGAAGATAATTCAATGAAATTTTGCACATGATCTTCTATGGTACCGGAGATGAAGCCTATTGAAAATAGTTATCATCGGTAAATTATTGCACCTAGCACCCATATAACTGTACCCGACGAATAGGGCTTTTAAGTTCATAATTATGTTTAATATACTCGTATCTCGACAAATAGCTGCAAAACCAAGTTCTATACTAGCCTTGATGACTCTCATGAATTTTATAATTACAGGGTCTCGTTTGACTATAGCCCCTATTCCAAGTCCCCTTCAAAATTTGACTTAAATGTCCACAATTTTATTCAATTATAAATGGTTTAAGTACAATTCAAGGCAAGGTACAATACAACTTAAATGATTTTATTTTTGTAACAGCTGTAGGGTATTATATGGTCGACCTCGCCCGACTATAATTTCTTACTTGTTTTGCAAATGTTTTACAACTTTTTATAAAAATTACTTTAATGGTCACAATTACGAAAATGTTCAAGCGATTTTGTTAATATTTGAGAAATATCTATATACCAATCGACTCAGAATCACTTTCTGGGTCGGTTAAGAAATGTCCGTCCGTCCATCCGTCCGGCTGTCCATATGAACGTTGTGCGTTAGATACAGACCGAAATTTTCAACATAATTTAATAAAATTAGCATCAAATCTTTTGACTATATCTTCAACAATTTTGAACCGATTTGTTTAATATGCAATATTTTTATATTTAAGAGTTTAAAGAAAAACTTTCAACTTACCTTAAGAAAAAACAAATCACCCGCTGGCATTAAAATACGATGTGATCCTGAATCGGTTTTCAATTCATAACCATCCTTAAACCATTGTATAGATGGCTTAGGACTACCTTCGGCTTTACAGTTAAAGGTAAAAGGATCATTTTTAGGCACCACCATATCCATAGGATGTTCAATAATACGAGGATTTTGAGCTAAAGGATAAAGAAAGAAGAAAAAAGTAAATTAAAACAGGTGTTAAGAAAAATAGCTTAAAATAAACATAAATTTATATAAATAAATTCCTATACAAACTTAATTAAACCTTAAAAATAATTTCAAATTTGTCATGCCTTAAAAAGAGAAATACAATAGATAAAAACCCGCTTGCTATAATACCGACAAAAGGCTTTCTTAATATTATTATAGTTGACTTATATACGTTTTTTATATAGCCCCCCTGTAAGACCATAAACTACCACTATTTTTTGCTGGCTGCTTATCGTTTCTATTCATTGAAAAGTCCTTATTTTTTAGCCTTAAGCACCTATTCATTGGTTTTCTTTATAAGTAGAAAATTATTGGATTACTTTTTGATATTTATGATAATTTGAGTTTTTTTTTTTTTTCTCTATATAGATATTCATTCTATTTAACAAAAGGTATTAAACTACCTACTGCCACAGCTTTAGAATGACTGCCTGCTGGTTTTTATACCATCTTTAAGTAACTAAAGCCCTGGCTGGCCGTTCATCCATTGATATTTTTTTCTTCTTAATATTGATGATAATTTTATTTAAAAGGTTCAATTGTGTTTAATCACCCTAAAAGTGATGTTAATGAATCTAAAATAAATTTTCATAAAATTAAAAGAAAATTTCCAGCTATAGAGCGCCAACAAAGCTAACATTTACGTATAAATGGAAAATTTAATTTGTAGATAATTTAGGTTTATTAAAAGGAATTTTTTTTTTTTTTTTCAAATTTCTTCATTATTTTCTGGTTTTAATGTGTTTTTATATAATGTCACCTCTTTATTTGTTAGTTTTTGGATTCCTTTTTCATTTGTAGTTTTAGTTGCTTTCTTGCCATGTCGCCTTTTGGCCAGAGTATCTTGTGTTTTAAGCGGAAATTAAATTTTGGTAGAAAATTTATTGAAAACGGATAAATGAAGCCATCAATTGTGTTAGTTAACAACAAAGTTAGAGCAAGAAAACAGCAGTAAAGTACCGTTTTAAGGATGCCTTTAAGGTAATTTATAAAGATAAGAGTAAGAGAAGGAAAAAGGAGTATAAAAACAAGGACATTTAGGAGTTCTTAAACAGATAATAAAGCAGAAAAAGCAAAATCATTAAAATTTTTAATACATATTGTTTAAGAACCATTTTTGGTTATAAAAAAATATTGAAATTTTGGCAAACTTTAAATTTGTTCTATATTTAAAAATAATTAAAAAGTTAATAAAATTTTTGTTTAATTTGATAGCTAATAGCATGATCTATTCATTAAAAGAAAAATAGTTAAAAAATTTTAATTTGAATTTCTGTAATTTGCTCTCAAACTTAACATATTTTATAAGAAATACAAATTTTTAACTAATTTTAAACTTAAGCCTTAAAAGCAATTAAACATTATGTTTAGGTTTTTTACTAAGTTAATAAAATATTGTTATTCTACAGAAAGCTCTTTTTCATTTCTTACAACTTCACTTTTAAATAATTTATTATTTTTTAAACAATTTTTATGTTTTTTCTACCAATAAGTATATTTACCTGGAAAACTTAATAAGTCTAATGTATAAGAGGATTTTAGTGGTTTGTTTGTTTGTATACTATTTTGTAATTTATTTTAGAAGTATTTAACAACAAAATAAATATTAACTCAAGGATGCCAAAAATAGTTAAGAAAAAACATAACAAGAAACCAGAATATTTTGCAAACAAAATAAATTTCAATTAAAGCAAAATTTTTCCTAAAATCTTATTAAATATTTTTAGGTTTTTTGCACTTTTTCCTGATCATTTAGTTGACTTTTTGAATTCTAAGCTTTTTTTGTCAACTTAATGACATACATATTAAGAGCAACAATGTTTTTGGTATTTAAAATGCATAAAAAACTAACTAACAACATGTTGTCTTTGTTATTTAAAACCCAAACATCTTTCAAATAACCCAGCAAACATTACACATCTAAGAGTAAAAAAGTTGTTAGAGTTTACTTTTAAGAATTATTTAAAAATATTATTTCTGTGAAAAAATTTAATTTTTTTTTAATTCCTGGTTTTAAATGTTTGCTGGGTTATTCTTTCAATTGCAAATATTGTTTACTATTGCCTGTTAAAACAAAGCTTTTGTTAATAGAATCTTCCTTCTTGTTTTGTTAACAAAACTATCATCATATATCATCTCTAAAAGACTTTTGTTTTTTATTAATGCTGCTACTCTGTTATTGTTGTTGTTCTTGTTAAAAGTATGACAACAATGTGTTGCATGCATGCATTTATGCATGAGCTTCAAAAAGTGATGCATGAGCTTTTAGGTGGCAAACATGAAACTACATTAACAATAAGTGATAAGGACTTTCAGAAATAATAGCAGCAATATTTAGTTACTTTTTTGTTCGATAATAATGACATATTAAGGAATGTTTTGTAAGGAAAATTTAAGCCCTTTCGTCCTGGCAATTCATGCCAAGAAAAGTTTAACAAAATGAAGACTTAGAAAAATACACAATTTGCTAAGTCTTTCTCTAAAAGATCAAATATCCTTTCCCCAAATGGATACTGTCATTAGAAAGCATCAGATATGATTATTTCACTGACGATCAGTAAAGATCTTTATTACATATAATTTTAATTCATAATGATCAGACATTATCTGCTTTTTTTTTTCCTAAAAAAACAGATATAATTATTCAAAAAATCGTACAAGATCACTAGAGATCAGACGAGATCTTTTCCGAAAAACTCTAGAAATGATCTTAGTCACAAAAGATTAGATAAGCTTTTATCATAAAAAGTCAGACAACATCTTGATCACAAGATCTTGATCACGAAAGATCAGACAAGATCTTGATCACAAAAGATCAGACAGAATCCTTATTACGAAAGATCAGACAAGAACTTGATCACAAAGGATCAGTCGGGATCCTTATCAAGAAAGATCAGACAAGATATTTATCACAAAAGATCAGACATGATCTTTGTCATAAAAGATCAGCAAAGATCTTTTTTAGAAAACATCAGACAAGATCTTTTACCCAGAATGATCACACATGAGCTTTTTTTAAAGAACGTACATGATCTTGACAAAATCTTTATCGTAAAAGATCAGCAAAGATCTTTATCAAAAAAGGTCAGACAAGATCTTTTTCAGAAAAAATCAGACAAGATTACAAAAGATCAGACAGGATCCTTATTACGAAAGATCAGACAAGAACTTGATTACCAAAGATCAGACAGGATCCTTATTGCGAAAGATCAGACAAGATATTTATCACAAAAGATCAGATCAGAACACAAAAGATAAGACAGGATCCTTCACAAAGGATCCGACAAGATCCTCACGAAAGATCTGGCAAGATATTTATCACAAAAGATCAGACAAGATTTGTATCATAAAAGATCAGCAAAGATCTTTATCAGACAAGATCTTTTACCCATAATGATCACACATGAGCCCTTTTTTTGAAGATCGTATATAATTTTTTTCCAAAAAGATCAAAAATGTTTTTATTCAAAAATAATAAAGATCATTATCATAAAAGACCGGAAAAGATTTTTATCATTAAAGACCAGACAACATCATTATTACAAAAGATCGGACAAGATCTTTATCGCAAAAGATCAAATTTCATCTTTTTATCAAAAGATCAGATCATGATCAAATATGAAATATATTAGACTGCAAAAGATCAGATTAATTTCCAAAAAATTATATATATATAATAATTTCATAAGATCAGACCTGACCTTTTCCAAAACTAATTCGACATGAAGTTTTTTGAAGAATATGATATTGATCAGATATGATAAAAGATCAGACATGATCAAGATTTTTAATTGAAATGTGTATCTAACCCTATTTAACGGTGCTTTTGTTAAACTTATAATTTTTGAATATTTTGCTGTTGTATTTAAATAAACATTTTACGTTTTCTTTTGTTGTAATCTAAAAAAAAAAAAATTCTTCACTAATTCACTTCCTGTTGTCATTTGCATATCATTTCTCTACTTTTTTCTAACTTGTTTGTTGTTAAATTACATTTTACTTTTCGTTAACACTTTAGTCAAAAAAAATATATAAATGAAAATACAACAAGGGAACAATATACTTAAATCATTTGAAATTATACTCTTCCAAAAAAAAAAAAAACGAGAAAAACATTTTCCTAAAGTTGTACAATTTTTCCACAAAAGTTTTATTTTTCCTTTATTTTTTAGTCTTCCTGTGTTTATTTACACTTGTATAACAATTTGAATTTTTTTTGTACTTTTTGGGCAGTATCTCTTAGATAGCTAGCTGTAGCAGTAGTAGTTTGTTTTAAATGTTTATTTGTTGTTTTTCTTTGTTGATGTTTATATAAAATTTATTTCAATTTTAAACTTTTGTTGGTCAAATACTTAAAAAAACGCTACTTGTCTCTCTCTCTAGACTGCTTTTAAACACACACACACACCTTACTTTACAGGTGAGTTTTTCAGTAGTTTTTTTGTTTTATTTCCTGTCGTACAGAAAAAATAAAAAAACAAATATTAAAAACTATTTGTTTTTCTTTGCTTTTCCTAATCAGTTGTATGCCACCCTGAACAAAAAATTATTGTTATTTCTTAAAGTTTTTGCACATAATATTTTAAGAAAAATTTATGAGTTTGTTAAAAGAATATATAAAACAACATCATGTGGCAGGTATTTGCTTGCATTCCCTTTTGCTCTCTAACACTTAAGGGGTTTTTCCGGTGTGAGATGAATTTTTGTTTTCTTAAAGGGAAATTTATGTTTCTGTTTCATTTATTTTGGACTTAAGTGTCGAAAATAGAAAAAATTTATATTTTTGGTATTTAAAGTAATTAAGGAAAAGTGAGCAATTTATTTGATAGTAAAATGTTAATATTTTAAAGAAGTTTTTAATGAAAAATATTTAAATTCAAAATTTTTAACTTTTAGTTGACTAGTTTTAACTTTAGTTGCTGGAAATGAAAACAATTTAGTTGCA